ACCTAGTAGTTTTAACTTTATACTCTGTCCCCGGAAAAAAGGCAATATAACATAGTAGTTTTAACTTTATACTTTGTCCTCGTTCCTCATCAAACCGTTGTCATCAGCACACTTCTTGTGCATAAATTCACAGACATTAACACACATTGTTTACAAAAAGATTCTTTATCGGTTCTGCTAATTTTTTTTTTCCAGTGAGTTATCACACTGACTTTATATTAAATACAATATTCGAAATTGAACTTAAACTCAGTGAGCATTTTAACACGTCCCTCGGGAGCCAAGGGCATGTCTGTACACTAACTTTGTTGAATATTAAAAGTAACTTCAATCCGGAAACTCCCGAAGACGGTGGTTTTGGACGTATCTTTTCGAGACAACTTCGACACAAGTTTTCGTTTGTTAATTCATAAATTTTTAAGTGAAATACAGCATCCTCAAGTCTCCATACCAGATAGTACTAAGGTCTACCCGCTGGAAATACATTCAGTATATATCACTAAAGCCACATTCTCAACATCATTAATTAAACAATTGACAACCTTTTATGCTTCTGCTATCACCTTTTTATGTTTAGCTTTCAACTGAGATACGAATGAATTCACTTGCAATTCGTTAGGGAAGGTCGAAGCATCACGATAGTCAGCAGTAGGATGAGTAGACAGGAACACTTTGAAAGCAGATATGGGCATAATATTGTACTCGGCTTGCTGCACAATATCTACCATGGTTCTAGACGGTTCCTGAATACCTCTACGGGTCATTTGGAGACTTCCATGCTTCTTTTGCTTGGCTGTTAAGCTCGTGATGCATCGACGGATTTCAGTCACCTTCAAATCACTTTTTGCAGCCCCAAAGCTAAAAGAGTGCGGGATATGCCTTCTTTTTAGCCAAAACAATTTAAGTTCAAATTAAGAAAAACTGAATTTGGTAGTTTTTGTTGCTGCTTTCACCAAAAAATGTCCCCCCACTGGCTCGTGAGGAGCCTGTTAAAAATCTAAACATAATGCCAGAGGAGCCTGTTAAAATGTAAACATAATGCCATGGAATAGCTTATAGAAATTAATAACACACGTATACAATAATGGAAATAAGTTATAAAACAGTTTCGTTTAATAATACGGGTACTTTCTTGAGCAACTGTTGTGGCCCAAGGTTCAATCAAATTTTCTCGCTGGACTAGAGTGCTGCTGGCGCTTCGACCAGACTGTGTGATTTCGGAATTTTAAATTCCTACTGTGATTGGATAATGTTTTGTTAGATTTTTCCTGTGTAGGGTCGCCTAGTAACATTGTATCCTGGGAAACTTAATTTTTCTAAAAGTTTTAGTGAACATTTTAGGGGAAGCAGACCGTCACCCCTCACCTCTCCTTGACATCGTCACTGCTCCTACCTCGAGCAACTGGACGCAGAACGTATGGTATCACTTCCGCCTACAACAAATGGACTCAGAACATGTGGTATCACTTCCGCCTCCAGCAGCTGGACGCAGATCGTGTGGTATTAGCAACACGTTTCTTGGTAACGACACAGAAAATTAGTTTTAAGTAACCTCCTGCTACAGTGTTTTCACGTGACCACGAGCTGATGTTTTACAACGAACCCCTTTTATCATGTAACAGTCACGTGGGATGACGTTTTACAACGAACCCCTTTTATTACCGGGTTGTCACTGTAAAACGTCATCCCACGTGACTGTTACATGGTACCGGGTTGTCACTGTAAAACGTCATCCCACGTGACTGTTACATGGCCATGTAACAGTCACGTGTAACATTTCGATTACGCAATTTGCAGTTAATCCATTGTAGTCTCAGATAGAACATACTAGTTTAAAAAAAGGGTAAGTGTTGAAACAAGTAGCTTCTTATTGAAAAGGTACGCCTTAAGTTACTACATCAGAAATTAGTATCCAAGCCAGTTTCCGTTTATAACACAAGAACAAAACTACTATTAATTATAACTTTTACATAAACGTTTACCTTTATTTTAACGTTTTGTAATAATAACCATTTCACTGCTTCGAAAACAAAATAAAGCGACAAAAATTGGATTCCGTTCGTCAGGAAACCACAATTCGGTTAGTAACAACTGGAAATACGGACTTTTAGAATATACCTTTACATGAAACTTAGGTTCACCTTAGTAGCCATAACAAGTTATATTTTCTGTACCACAGGAGCCTGTAATCTCCAGTGAGTGGTAAAAAAAAATCTCTCTTTCTCACACACACACACACACACAAAGACTGAGATATGGAAAGAAGCCTGTAGGAAAATGCGTGTTTGTAAGAATGAATACCACATCTCTGTTTGGAGAATAATGGGAGATTATTAAGGACTTCTGACCTAACTACATATTATAAACAAAAGTAACCTATAAATTAATAAACTAGACAACAACCTGGCTAGAAGAACATAATGCACAAGAAAACTAAAACCTACAAAGATTAAAATGCATTTTGTCAGTTGGGAACTTTGCTGTTAACATTTTCGGCCGTAATCCCAATAACACCTTACAGAGGTTCGACCAGTTTAGACATACACAAACGCATTATATGAAAATGGAGTCGGTCGTTACTTCTGAAAACATGTTCCTATGAATATCCATCCCGTTAATTACGATATCATTACACGTAAAGTAAACGAGTCATGAGATAATTACGATATCAATACACGTAAAGTAAACGAGTCATGAGATAATTACGATATCAATACACGTAAAGTAAACGAGTCATGAGATAATTACGATATCAATACACGTAAAGTAAACGAGTCATGAGATAATTAAGATATCAATACACGTAAAGTAAACGAGTCATGAGATAATTAAGATATCAATACACGTAAAGTAAACGAGTCATGAGATAATTAAGATATCAATACACGTAAAGTAAACGAGTAATGAGATAATTAAGATATCAATACACGTAAAGTAAACGAGTCATGAGATTTTTGTAGTAATTTTATATTCAACAATGTAGTTTTAAAAGTTTTAGCTAAAAACTTGTGCAATTGTTTGTTATAACCTAACAGCCTATAGAACGGAGAAAATTCTTTGTAACAACAGATACTGATACACCTCACAATAAACATATACGTGAAGAAAGGTCCCTATATAATTTAGAACTAGATAAGAACACAAACCAAAAATTCTTACAACTGAAAAGAGAACCGTTTGTATTGACAAAAAAAAAGACCCAAAATGTGTATGAATCACGTGACAATAAAAATATATTATTCACGACAATTAAACCCAGACTTATAATATTGTTACGACAGCGGAAGTCACGTGACGCTAGCAATACGTCATGATATTCTAGAAGGATCATGGCTGTTCGTGGCAATTCTGGTCCTTTCTACGCGCCCTCTATTCTTGTATATAAGTGCGCCAGATAAAGCGAATTTAATTAATCGGAATAAAATTGCAGACAGATAGACGGACAATTGAGTCAAGCGCGGTAGTGACCGTAAGAAAAGTGCGTGAATCGTTGTAAATTATAGCGTATGTTTAAGTTAAAGTGACTGTGGAAATTAAGTGTATTGCAAAGTTGTATTGAGAAAGAATAAACTAGTTTTATTTAAGAAAGGACTTGTATCGCTCAAGTTATTCGGGAAGATTTTTTACGGGAAATTAACAAACAAGCAGAGACGTAACGATATTGAAGGATGAATAAAACTGTGATAGCAATATTACAACACAAGTGATATGGAAAATAGGTTTAATTTAAAAGACAAACATTATTCGATTTTTTTTTCATATCATTCCGGGTGATTAACACAGAATTTGAAAAATTAAAATTTCTAGCAAAGGCAAAAAAAAAGGTAAAAGATATTTTGAACATTATAATGACGCTAAAATACGAACAAAAAGTAGGATCAGCTGTTCGTATGTAAGTGACTTTTAACTTACGAATATGATGATATGCTGTAACCAAAGCTTACGCGTGATCTTAATATCAGTTTTTATAGCATGCGTCGCGTATGCTATCAAATTCACGGAAGTTGGTTGGAGCCAGGCACGGGTTTATTTCGAACTTTCACGGTGATTAATAAATCTGGGCACGAAAAGAAATCAGATCATGTTTATAGGAAGCATTAAACGGATTTCTTTTAAGTTACCATACATAAGTGGAAGTCAGACATTTTGAAATATATATACTTCAACCAAACTCACAATCATAAGGAGTTGACGAGTTTAACAATTCGTAAGGCTTAACATTAAAAGTATTAATAAAATGTAGATCCATAAAAGTGAACGGAAAGACCTCGGGACTTTGAAAAAACAAGCATCAATACACTTTTTTTTTTTACACATTATTAGCAGAATGTGCAGAGTTAGTGAAGGTTGATGGTCCGTAACTTTAACTGCGTAGAAAAATACGCTAACTTCACTTACAGTCAGACTTGGTGACGAGGCTCTTGAAGAGCTGTTTATTTCGGTTAAGAATGCATTCTGGACAAGGTTATTATCATAGAGTTTATGTCGTTGTGTCAGTCGCTCCACGCTAGCAAAACGATAACCGAGCCCACCGTACGAGGAGACGGAGGATGTTGGCTGACGAGGTGAGGGTTGGCCGAGTACCGGCGCCTTCACCGGCTCTGGGGATATGGCCTTGTAGGTAACCGACTTCTCGTGTATGTTTTCTCCCAAGACACGAAAGGTTTTCGGCGGAGGCACAGGCTTAGCCGGGCTAGTGACAGCTGAAGCGCGAAGCATAGTGTAGAATAAGTAAATCTAGTCCTGTTCTAGCAGGTCAACTAGAGATCTTCGATCGCACGTGAACCACAAGTGACGATCGACTAGAATCATCACCGGTACAAGAGAGTAGCTTTATCTCCACCCCCACACAAAGCGATCTGCCACAGTTAGGACATTACTGGAGAGCCTCTGAGGAGGATGACGTAAGACGAGACCAATGATTAATCACCGTGAGGTCACGTGCTGTCTATAGAAACTTCAAGAAACATTGATTGTCCTCAAGTGACACAGGCAATTCGTAACCTCCACACCACTTCGAGTGCCGCAGGCATTTCGTAGCCTCCACACCACTTCGAGTGACGCAGGCATTTCATAGCCTCCACACCGCTTCGAGTGACACAGGCATTTCATAGCCTCCACACCGCTTCGAGTGACACAGGCATTTCATAGCCTCCACACCGCTTCGAGTGACACAGGCATTTCATAGCCTCCACACCGCTTCAAGTGTCACAGGCATTTCATAGCCTCCACACCGCTTCAAGTGTCACAGGCATTTCATAGCCTCCACACCGCTTCAAGTGACACAGGCATTTCATAGCCTCCACACCGCTTCAAGTGACACAGGCATTTCATAGCCTCCACACTATTTCAAGTGACACAGGCATTTCATAACTTCCACACTATTTCAAGTGACACAGGCATTTCATAACTTCCACACTATTTCAAGTGACACAGGCATTTCATAAGTGAGAAAGTGGTAAGGCCATGGCCTGACTGGCTTTACCGCTTCCTACGGCCCAGTAACTGGTTTGTTTGTTTTTAAATTTTGAGCAAAGTTACTCGACGGCTATCTGTGCTAGCCGTCCCTAATTTGGAAGTAATAGATTAGAGGAAATTCAGCTAGTCAACACCACCCACCACAAACTCTTGGGCTACTCTTTCCAATGAACAGTGGAGTTAACCGTCACATTATAACGCCCCCATGGCTGAAATGGCGAGAACGTTTGATGAAAGGATTCGATCCCGCGACCTGCAGATTCAGAGTCGAGTATCTTGACCACTAAGCTGTGCCAGGCCAGCGCGACAGGAATAAGGCAGGTTAATGAAAAAAAAGGCAAATATCATATACAAACAAAGCCGTTCTTTAATCCGAGCTTTTTCAGAAAAGTTCAAACTGTTAAAGAGTCTGATGTTAACACATTAATATGTGAATTATCATCCTGGAGCTTCGTAAAATTAAAACTTTGCGAAAATAATCCGACATAAAAAAAAACAGAACTCACTAGCCGTCCCTAATGTAGCAGTGCAAGACTAGAAGAAAGACAGCTAGTCATCACCCACCGCAAACTCTTAGGCTACTCTTTTACCAACGAATAGTGGGATTGACCGTCACATTATAACGCCCCCATGGCTGAAAGAGCGAGCATGTTTGGTGCGACGGGGATCCGGACCCTCGTTCATATGTTTAGTGTATTACATGCATGTTGTTAATTCTGCACGATTCATTATTTCTACCCCCCCCCCCCCCCACTTTTTCGCTGAAACATTAACACAAAAAATGACAGATAATATATTTTCTTTGTTGAGATATCCTATCTTGAAGAGAAGTTTACCTTACGGCAAGAGAACGTGACAGACAGAACGATAGTTGGATTCTCCACGTCACGATATTCGACCGGTTTTCGGGAAATCCACCTTTCATTAGTAATGGTCGGGGATTGGGTCTCAATTATCTGGCATCAACTATTAAAATTTAGATTTGATTTGAAAAATAAAACTGTCTAGAGAATGTCATTTGATGATTATTGGAAATAAAAATATTGTCTGTTGTTCAGACATTTGCATCCATGTCGTTTACTTTGATCTCTGTTACTCTATAAATTGACAGAATTACAACGTCAATCAATCCTGATGTACCACACGACAGTGATAACTCACACGGCCCGAAGTTACCGTGGTGTACCACACGGCCCGAAGTTACCGTGGTGTACCACACGACAGTGATAACTCGCACGGCCCGAAGTTACCGTGGTGTACCACACGGCCCGAAGTTACCGTGGTGTACCACACGGCAGCTCACACGGCCCGAAGTTACCGTGGTGTACCACACGGCCCGAAGTTACCGTGGTGTACCACACGGCCCGAAGTTACCGTGGTGTACCACACGGCCCGAAGTTACCGTGGTGTACCACACGGCCCGAAGTTACCGTGGTGTACCACACGGCCCGAAGTTACCGTGGTGTACCACACGACAGCGATGACTCGCACTCGTCCCACCAAACATGCTCGTCCTTTCAGTCGTAGATGAGTTATAATGTTTCAATCAATCCTGCTATTCGTTGGTAAGAGTGTAGCCCAAGAGATGGTGACTAGCTGCCTTCCCTCTAGTCTTCCACTGCTAAATTAGGGACGGCTAGCGCACATAGCCCTCGTGTAGCATTGCGAAGAATTCGAAACAAATCAAACTTAACATGAAAATCTTCCACTCCGACTAGTCAGTAGTTCACATAATAATCTTTAGTAAAAATACTTAACTAAAAAGTCAGATTTTTTTTGCCTACAATACAATCGTAACGTTCACTAAAAGTTCGACAAATTTCGTGAAGATACATTTACACACTTACAGTATGTATAATTTCATGATTATAAGGTTGGTCAAAATATATAATAAAGGGTGAAAGGTCGTTTAATGTCATGGATCAGTGCACAAGAAACAGGATTAATAATGATTAACTGTTCACCATCTGAAGCCTATCCTGTTATTAAAAGGTTTAACGACACTTTTCGCTGTCGTCCGAAGCTATATTAATGTGGTATCCATTTGCATTTTGGGATCCTGCTAAATGTTTATTACAAACGCAAGTTTTAAGAACCTGACTAAGTTGTTGAACTTTTAGAAGTAAGCATTGTGGAATGTGGAATTAAATGGAGCAAGTGATAGTCCGAATCTTACAATCAACAAGGAATTCCTGATGAGCGGATAAACATAAAAACACTAAAATACAAACCTTTTATGGATCTTGGTATGAAATCGACCACACTCATTTCAGTAAAATATTAAAACTCCTTAGTTATACTGACGGACAAGAAGAAAGTATTAGTTACACGTATAAAAAAACCTAATGGGAAACAACTTGTCTTTATAGGTCCAAGTTTTGGGTGAAAATGAAGCCTTATGGTAATCGAATTGTGCATTAATCTGTATCACCGAACACTTGACTGTATACGAATAGTACACAACTTTCTTCGTCGAGCTCAACATTTCATAAATACAAAGACCCAAATAAAATAGTGACAAGAACATGAGAATTAGGCCGAAGACCAACGAAAGAAGGAATAATTTTTTACCCTTTTCCAACCAAATGAACATTTTCGTGTTTGGTAAAAACCTTGAATGTGGTACCGTATCGGTTTAGACAGATTTAGGACCTAAGATTTCACTGAAAGGGAAAGAAATAGGAAATTATTAATTAAGTTTTATTGCAGACTAGCTGGAATACTCGCCCGTTGGACAGGTGAAATAAAAACTCGGTTGTAACGAAGGACGGGAAATTGTACTTCTATTATGTGCAATAAAAATACGTAAAGCTACCAATACTGGAAAAAAAAAAGATACTGTTTTCAAGAATTCTAACAATAGTGGTTACATAGTTTTCTAATGCTGAGGGATATATAGCACTGATAGTTTTTCTGAAAGCATATATGAAATTAGATGGGGGGGGGGATAGACTGACTGTGTTTGGTTCAGCTAACAGAGGTCCGAATTAAACTGATTGTGATTGGTTCAGCTAGCACAGACTATGATACTTGCTACGTGAAGCAGGTCTAAAATATTGTTAC